TGGTTAGAGTATTATTATGATTTTTGACACTAGTTTTATAGTTTCATTAGCCTTGGTTAAACTGCCATTTCTTGATTGGTGAATGATAATTACTGGAAGTACATAAGAAAACTCTGGATGTTCTATGTCAAATTTGGACCAGATATGTACATGCTTCCCTCTCTAGAGAAATGTTAATATATGTGACATTCTATAGAATCCTGGTTTGTTCATTATTTGGAATAGATAAGTCATACACTGAAAGCAGTGGGACAGCACTAATAACTCTCCCACTTTTGCTTGTCAGTTAAATTTTATTCTTTCCAATAGTCCCTTATGTTTTCCAAAACAGATAAGATTGAGCAAAGAAATATGTCTAAAAAGAAAAGGTAAAAAGGCAATTGCATAGTGAAATCAAACTTTCTCATAACTCTATATACACTATGGTGTACTGATTAATCTGTTTAAAACTTCTCAGGAATTAGTTCTAACATTTAGCTAGTTAGTTCTGAAATACTGAGTTCTTGCTTAGAGGGAAGAGTATATCCAAACAAGTTTTTTTAATTTTTTTTAAAATTTATTTATTTATTATTATTATTTTTTTTATCACAACCATAGTGTATCTTTTTTTTTTTTTTTTTTAACATGTATTCCCCATCCTGGTCCCCCCTCCCACCTCCCTCTCCACCCAATCCCTCTGGGTCTTCCTAGTGCACCAGGCCCGAGCACTTGTCTCATGCACCCAACCTGGGCTGGTGAACTGTTTCACCCTAGATAATATACGTGTTTCAATGCTGTTCTCTTGAAACATCCCACCCTCGCCTTCTCCCAGAGTCCACAAGTCTGTTCTATACATAGGAGTCTCTCTTTCTGTTTTGCACATAGGGTTATCGTTACCATCTTTCTAAATTCCATATATATGTGTTAGTATACTGTAATGGTCTTTATCTTTCTGGCTTACTTTGCTCTGTATAATGGGCTCCAGTTTCATCCATCTCATTAGAACTGATTCAAATGAATTCTTTTTAATGGCTGAGTAATATTCCATGGTGTATATGTACCACAGCTTCCTCATCCATTCGTCTGCTGATGGGCATCTAGGTTGCTTCCATGTCCTGGCTATTATAAACAGTGCTGCGATGAACATTGGGGTACACGTGAGATAAATCCACGAACCTATGGTCACCTTCCTTATCTTTGACAAAGGAGGCAAGGATATACAATGGAAAAAAGACAACCTCTTTAACAAGTGGTGCTGGGAAAACTGGTCAACCACCTGTAAAAGAATGAAACTAGAACACTTTCTAACACCATACACAAAAATAAACTCAAGATGGATTAAAGATCTAAATGTAAGACCAGAAACTATAAAACTCCTAGAGGAGAACATAGGCAAAACACTCTCCGACATAAATCACAGCAGGATCCTCTATGACCCACATCCCAGAATTTTAGAAATAAAAGCAAAAATAAACAAATGGGACCTAATGAAACTTAAAAGCTTTTGCACAACAAAGGAAACTATAAGCAAGGTGAAAAGACAGCCCTCAGATTGGGGGAAAATAATAGCAAACGAAGCAACAGACAAAGGATTAATCTCAAAAATATACAAGCAACTCCTCCAGCTCAACTCCAGAAAAATAAATGACCCAATCAAAAAATGGGCCAAAGAACTGAACAGACATTTCTCCAAGGAAGACATACAGATGGCTAACAAACACATGAAAAGATGCTCAACATCACTCATTATCAGAGAAATGCAAATCAAAACCACAATGAGGTACCATTACACACCAGTCAGGATGGCTGCTATCCAAAAGTCTACAAGCAATAAATGCTGGAGAGGGTGTGGAGAAAAGGGAACCCTCTTACACTGTTGGTGGGAATGCAAATTAGTACAGCCACTATGGAGAACAGTGTGGAGATTTCTTAAAAAGCTGGAAATAGAACTGCCATATGACCCAGCAATCCCACTTCTGGGCATACACACCGAGGAAACCAGATCTGAAAGAGACACGTGCACCCCAATGTTCATCGCAGCACTGTTTATAATAGCCAGGACATGGAAGCAACCAAACAAGTTTAAAATATTTATTTCTTTTGCTTTCTTAGAAAGCATTAAAGACTCAGAACTTCTCCAGAGGCAGCGTCTCATAAGAGTTGGTTGTGATCTCTGTTGGATAGTTTGGCTTTAACATTTAGAACATGTAAACCTTTTCAAAATATTTTTTCCAAGCAAAAAGTCAGATAGAATGTAGGTATTTTGACTTTAGCAATTAAAAATTCCCTCTCCTCTAAGGAGCCAAGAGAAATTATAACCACCTTAAGACTGAGAGCGCAAAGAAGGAAAACTGTTCAAAACTCAGTTCTTCACTGATATACCATATTCATTATTTTTTCTTTTAATTTCTACCCTTAACCACCTTAGCTCACTGGTTATAGAATACTTAAAGATCTAATGGACACAAGTTCTATTAAGCCATGTTCATTCTTATCATTCTCTCTTTAATTCTTGATCCACTCATCACTAATATCATTGAGTGGTTTATCAAATATGCCAAATGGAGGGAACTCACTGAATCCAACCTTTTCATATGAGGGCAAATAGTCACTTCAAATGGTGTAATTTGTTTGAAGCATGGACGGGAATGGAATGGGCAAGATATGTGCATATTCAATCTCCACAATGGGAAACGTGGGGACTTCATCATATAAGATGATGAAGAAGATTGTGAGAGATACAAGATCCTTGAGATACTAACTCACCAAAGACAACCATCATAAATATTGGTCCCTTCTTCAGGCATAATATAATCTAGTGAAGAATGGTGTTGAAAGGACTGTGAATAATTGGAACTGGAGAAAAGAAAGAAAGTGCTAGAGAAACATGAGATTGCTGTGATGTGGTTCAGTATTAGGTACATTTTTATGACCTACCTCTTCTTTTCTAGGATGTACAGATGCACTTGTTGAAACACAATAATTTTGATTTCTGCTTTGTAGTATAATCACCACTAGGACAAAAATATATGTCTTTTCCCAGTGAGATTATAGTTAATTAGCACTAGGTTTTGGGGACCCATTGACACTCTGAGATTCCTAGTAACCAGTGTTTTATTGATTTCTCCTGGGAACCAGGCCTGCAAGTGATGTTAATTTTCCCAAGAGAAAAAATATCAGAAGAGTTACTTGGTGACGAGAAGTAAGAAAAGAAAGAAGATATAAGAATATCTCCCTTATATTAAGAGATATAATGTGCTGGATGGCTAAGAAATAAGTACCGTTTAGAACAGAAAATGTGGAACCACAAACTCACTTACAGTTACTAAGGTGGGGAAGGGTAAGAAGTTGTTCACAATTCTTCTGACACTCTCGTTCATTGACCAGGAGAGAATGAGGTTCATTTATCAATATTTTTTTCAAGAGACAAGCCTTAGGCTTTATGCATGGGGCATATTCTCATAACGATTCCTGATTTATTCCCATTCAGTGCTTTTGTCTATTGAGTCAAAGCCACAATGGTATCACCTCACATCTGTCAGAATGGCTATTGTTATAAAGATATGAAATAAAAAAGTGATGACATGAATTTGAAGAAAAGAGAACCCATGTGTACTGTTTTGTGGGAATGTAAATTAGTGCACACTCTATAGAGGTTCCTAAAAATTAAAACTATCATATAATCCATATATGATTTCATATAAAATGATAAATCAAGACCAGAAGAAACAAAAACACTAATGAAAATGATATCTGCATCTTCATGTGCATAGCAGAAGTTTTCACGATAGTCAAGCTATGGAAACAACTTAAATGTCCACTGATGGATGGGTAGATAAAGAAATTGTGGTACATACAGCTGGCCCTCTATATCTCCAGTTCCATATGTGAGGGTTCAACCAACTACAGATCAAAAATGTTGAAAAAATTTCCAGAAAATTCTATTAAGCAAAATTTTAATTTGCCACATGCAGGCATATATTTACATAGCATTTATATTCTATTAGATATTATAAGTAGTCTAGAAGATTTCAAGTATAAGGAAGAATGTGTGTAGTGTATTTGTTAGTCACACAGTCGTGTCTGACTCCTGCGACCCCATGGGCTGTAGCCCGCCAGGCTCCTCTGTCCATGAAATTCTCCAGGCAAGAATACTGGAGTGAGTTGTCATTTCCTGCTCCAGAGCATCTTCCTGACCCAGGGACAGAACCCTGGTCTCCTGCACTGCAGGCAGATGCTTTACCATCTGAGCTGCTAGGAAGCAAAGGTAGCTTTCAGTAAATCTTTTCAGATGTACCCTCAGCTGTTTAACTCTCCTGGCAATGGACAGCAACGCATGTATATACAAGATAAATAAAAAGAACGAGGTCCTCTGATCTCTACAACAACACTCCTCTTACTGAAGATAAACTAAGGGATGACAAATTGCCATAGGCTCATCATGGAAATCTGAAAGCTGTTTGTATTTCTCTCTTTTCTCTTCCATGTCTCCCCCTCTTTTGTTTAAATATCCCTGAGATAATTTTGCAATGTAAACTGAGGAGGAAGATGTGCCTGAAGTCTCTGCTAAATGCACAATAAAGATTGGACCACTCTCCTGTGTGAATTTTCAGATATAGAATAAGTTTCTAGGCTGAGTCCATTTCTAACATGACTCTTTAGATGAAAACTGATATCCTGCAGTAGGTTTTTTCACAGGGAAGAAAAATGAGGAGATTTCTTTTGGGTATGAATGATCAGATTCTGAGTAAGCTGTTTCTTCCATAGAAGATTTTCCTCAGGGGTTACATGCAGAAGTCTTTGCCCAGAAGGAGTTCTTAGAGGTTGAACTCTTAAGTGTGGAACTATGTAACTGTGCAGAGTCATTCCACATCTGTCACACTGACAGGGTTTCTCCCATTATGAACCCTTTGATTCTCAGTAAGGGATGAGCTGTGACTGAAGGCCTTTCCACACTCACTTCACTCATAGGGCTTCTCTCTGTTATGGTTGATGGAGTGTTGAATGAGGCTTGTGCTCCACTAGAAGACCTTCCCACACTCCACGCATTTGTAGGGCTTCTCTCCACTGTGAATCTGCTGGTGGCTGGTGAGGTATGACTTGCAGTTGAAGGCTTTCCCACACTCTGTGCCCTTGTAGGGCTTCTCTTCACTGTGGATGGTGAAGTGCCGACTGAGTCCTGACCAATTGCTAAAGGCCTTCTCACATTCTTTGCATTCATTGGGTTTCTCTCCAGTGTGGGCCCTTTTATGTAAGCTAAAAGTGGAGCAGTAGATGAAGGCCTTTCCACACTCAGTGCATACATAGGGCTTCTCCCCTCTGTGGATCTGCGGGTGCTTGTTGAAGTATGGCTTGTGGTAGAAGGCCTTCCCACACTTGAGGCTCTTGTAGGGCTTCTCCCCAGTATAGATGATGGAGTGTTGAATGAGTCTGGTGCTGTCACAGAAGCCCTTTGCACACTTCCTTCTCCCAGGTGTGGATCTGCTGGTGTGTTGTGAGCTGTGACCTGTGGTGGAAGACCTTCCCATACTCCATGCACTCAAAGGGCTTCTCTACCGTGTGAATGATGTGGTGTCACAGGAAACCTGTCTTGTGTTGGAAGGCCTTCCCATACTCGCTGCCCTCACAGGGTTTCTCCCTAGTATGTATCCGTTGGTGTGTCATGAGCTGTGACCTGCGGCGGAAGGCTTTCCCACATTCCATGCACTCGCAGGGCTTCTCTCCCATGTGGATGATGTGATGTCATAGGATACTTTTCTTATCTCAGAAGGCTTTCCCACACTTGTGTAGGTTGTGTGTAAATCCCTTAAACAACTATATGACTTTGTTTAAGGAATTTGAGCATCTTGAGGTCTTTTTGTCTGTGGGGGAATCCTGGACACTGTGGATTACGAGGCTGTTGTTGAGTCACTAAGTCATGTCTGACTGCATCCCCATGGCCTGTAGCACATCAGGCTCCTCTGCCCCCCACTATTGCCCAGTGTCTGCTCAAATTCATGTTCTTTGAGTTGGTGATGCTATCTAATCATCTCATCCTCTGTACCCCTCTTCTTTTGTCTTCAGTCTTTCCTAGCATCATGGTCTTTTCCAAAGAATTAGCTCTTTGTATCAGGTGGTGAAAGTACTGGAGCTTCGACTTCAGCTGAAGTTGTTTTAATGAATATTCAGTGTTGATTTTCTTTAGGATTGACTGGTTTGATTGATTACTGGAAAAACCATAGTTTTGACTATATGGACCTTTGTTGGCAGTGATGTCTCTACTTTTTAAAACACTGTCTATGTTTGTCATAGCTTTTCTTCTAAGAATAAAATTTAATTTCATGTCTGCAGTCTCTGTTCATAGTGATTTTTGACCCCAAGAAAATAAAATCTGTTACTGCTTCTACTTTTCCCTCTTTTGTTTGCCACGAAGTGATGGGACTGGATGCCATGATCTTAGTTTTTTGAATGTTGAGTTTTAAGCCAACTTTTTCACTCTCCTCTTTCACCCTCATCAAGAGGGTCTTCACTTCCTCTTCACTTTCTGTCATTAGAGTGTATCATCTGTATATCTGAGGTTGTTGATATTTCTCCTGGCAATCTTTATTCCAGCTTGTGATTCACCCAGCTTGCTATTTCACATGATTTATTCTGAATGTAAGTTAATGTAATAAATAAGAAGGATGACAATATATAGTCTTGTCCCAATTTGGGACCAAAAGGTGACTATATATTCCTATCCCAATTTGGAACCAGTTCATTGTTCCATGTCTGGTTCTAACACTTGTTTCTTGACCTTCATACAGGTTCCGCAGGAGACAGGTAAGGTGGTCTGGTTATCTCTTTAAGAATTTTTCAGTTTGTTGTGATCCACAGTGTCAAAGGCTGTGGTCAATGAAGCAGAAGTAGATGCTTTTCTGGAACTCCCTTGATTTTGCCATGATCCAAGAAATATTGGCAATTTGATATTTGGTTCCTCTGACCCTTCCTCTGACCCAGCTTGTGCACCTCAGTTCACATAATGCTGAAGTCTAGCTTGAAAGATTTTGAGCATTACTTTGCTAGCATGTGATATGAGTGCAATTGTATGGTAGTCTGGACATTCTTTGGCATTGCCCTTCTTTGAAATTGGAATGAAAACTGACCTTTTCCAGCCCTATGTCCACTACCAAGTTTTCCAAACTGGCTGGCATATTGAGTGCAGCACTTTAACATCATCATCTTTTAGGATTTGAAATCAGCTGGAATTCTGTCACCTCCACTAGCTTTGTTCATAGTGATGCTTCCTAAGGCCCACTTGACTTCATACTCTAGGATGTCTGGCTATAGGTGAGTGACCACATTTTCATACTTATCTGGGTCATTAAGATCTTCCTTATCTAGTTTTTCTGTGTATACTTGCCACCTCTTCTTAATCTCTTCTGCTTCTGTTAGGTCCTTACTGTTTCTGTCCTTTATTATATACATCCTTGAATGAAATGTGCCCTTTGATATTCCAGTTTTCTTACAGAGAGCTCTACTCTTTTCCATTCTACAGTTTTCCTCCATTTCTTTGCAATCTTCACTTAAGAAGGCCTTCTTCTCTCTCCTTGCCATTCTCTGGAAATCTGCATTCAGTTGGGTATATCTTTGCCTTTCTGCCTTGCTTTTTGATTCTCTTCTTTCCTCAGCTATTTGTAAAGCCTCTTAAACCACTTTGCCTTCTTCTATAAGTGAGTCCACATGTCTCTTTTATAGACCGTCCATTATTACACCAAATTTTGAGTTGAGCAACTGGGTTTTTGACCCATTTACTGTGACTTTGAAAGAAGAAGGGGCTTCTTGTGGTTCCAGTGGGGAGAGAAGGAGGAAGCAGGGAGCGGGGCCGTTGCGGGGGAACCCACCGCGGCTTCTGCCACCGCCGCCACCACCATCTCTGTGCTCGTGGTGTGGGAAAGGAGGTGTGAATCCCGGGCGCGAGCTGGCGGCGGCGCCGCTGCAGGAAGGTCGGCGGTGGGAAGACGATGGCAGATATGGATAAACTCAACATCTACAGCATCATTCAACGGCTGCTGGAAGTGAGAGGGTCCAAGCCTGGTAAAAATGTCCAGCTACAGGAGAATGAAATCAGAAGACTGTACTTAAAGTCCCGAGAGATCTTTCTCAGTCAGCCTATCCTGCTAGAACTTGAAGCACCACTCAAGATATGTGGTGATATCCATGGGCAATACTATGATTTGTTTCGACTTTTTGAGTATGGTGGTTTCCCGCCAGAAAGCAGTGAACCTGTTTCTTGGGGACTATGTGGACAGGGGAAAACAATCACTGGAGACTATCTGCCTCTTATTGGCTTACAAAATCAAATATCCCGAGAATTTTTTTCTTCTCAGAGGAAACCACGAATGTGCCAGCATCAATAGAATTTATGGATTTTATGATGAATGTAAAATAAGATATAACATTAAACTATGGAAAACTTTCACAGACTGCTTTAACTGTTTACCGATAGCAGTCATCATGGATGAGAAAATATTCTGCTGTCATGGAGGTTTATCACCAGATCTTCAATCTATGGAGCAGATTCGGCGAATTATGTGACCAACTGATGTACCAGATCAAGGTCTTCTTTGTGATCTTTTGTGGTCTGACCCCGATAAAGACGTCTTAGGCTGGGGTGAAAATGACAGAGGAGTGTCCACATTTGGTGCAGAAGTGGTTGCAAAATTTCTCCATAAGCATGATTTGGATCTTATATATAGTGCCCATCAGGTGGTTGAAGATGGATATGAATTTTTTGCAAAGAGGCAGTTGGTCACTCTGTTTTCTGTGCCCAGTTATTGTGGAGAGTTTGACAATGCAGGTGCCATGATGAGTGTGGACGAAACACTAATGTGTTCTTTTCAGATTTTAAAACCTGCAGAGAAAAAGAAGCCGAATGCCACGAGACCCGTCACACCTCCAAGGGGTATGATCACAAAGCAAGCAAAGAAATAGATGTCATTTTGATACTGCCTAGTTGGGGCTTGTAACATATAGTACATAACCGTCATTTTTAAAACTGTAATGTGTATTGGTCAGCTTGCTCAAATAGTGTTTGTGGGGCTCCCCCTTTCATTTTTGACTTAATGAATGGTATTTGCCGATTATAACAGCAAATGATAGATTCTCCACTCCTAAGGAAAAATGTTTTGTTTAGTTCCCTGTTCCTTTTACAAACAACATTAATGATGGTGTTAAAGCTATACACTCAGGACAGTGTCCCCTGTCTAAGGGGTGAGTGTACAATTGATCTTTTTTTAATTCAGTACAGCCCATGAATAATGTAAATGCTCATTTTCTTTAGGATATAAAGAGAGCCCTAGGGTGCTCAATCTGTACATGTTATTGTCATAAAATGCATACTGTTGGATACAAACCACTGTGAACTTTTTTGTTTCAAAGGGATTGCTTTTTTCCCCCTCTCATTGTCTTATCATGTACAAACTAGTTTTTATAGCTATCAACATTAGGAATAACTTTCAACTTTGCCAGCATCACTGGTATGTATATTTAATTAAAGCACACTTTCCCCTATGGTATACCTAAAAAGATGATTAAAGCCATTATTTTAAATGTTTGTGACTCTTTTCCTGAAGCCAAAGTTTCTGTTGAAATATATATTGACACTTCCCTAAGTAAGTACAAAGTGGCATGGTTGTGTACACCTGTCACCTTTATGGGGATTCAAAAACAGATTTTTGAGTTTGAATAGCAGTTAGTAACATAGTGCTGTTTAAGCTATTAATGATTAAAGTTAATTACATTTTGTACGGTTTCCATATAGTCTATTCATTAAGTAATCTTTTTACAGTTACATCAGGCCTGAACCTGTCCATTCAGAAAGCTTCAAATTATAGAAACAATACTGTTCTATACAAGAGACCAATTATGCATTCTTTGGCCTACATTCTTTATTCTGCGATGAAGTTGAGGCTTATAAGTCAAAACAAAGGAACTAACTTACTATCCACCAGTTTATACAGAACTCACAGTATCTATGACTTTTTTAAAAAGAAATCTGTTTCAACAGATGACCTTGTACAATACCATGTGGTGAAAATTAATTCAAACTTATTAAATGATGAACTTGTTAAATTCTCTCAGTGTCAGTTTATCAGCACAATACACACAGGAGAACTGTTGATGGCATATTGAATAGATTTTAGTCAATAAATTGCTCTGGAAACCACACAGTTTCAATTTGGATTTGTCTTCCTTCAAATAGTCTGTTTTCCAAAGAGGGATTGTAATATGGATGCTCATTCTTCAAATTCTTATTGGATATAACTAAGTTTCTGAAGTAGAGAGATGAGATTGAACTATATTGGGAGGTGTGGGACTTGGTGAGTTGTGTGACATCATCTGTATCCATATTTTTTGTCTGGGTTTATTTGAACTTGGCAATAAAATTCAAGAGCTACTTTTTAAATTAAAAAAACAAAAAAGAAAGAAGAAAGGGTATGAGAAAAAGGAGACAGTTTAGTTATAGACCTGCTGAGTGGGCATTGCCTGTGAAGCATCCAATTAAGAA